CAAAATCCTCGCCACTGCCGTGCCGCTTGCCGATCAGCTTTGTCAGGGGTCTAACAGTAATCTCCTTAAATGTACGTCAAACCACTAAACGCTGCCATGTCTCAGTAAACAAATCGAGATATATGACTATATAATAGTAATAAAATCCACAACGAAATATTGAAGACATAGTAATAACCAAGTTGGTCCACAACTTGTCTTTCATTATTATATTATATTCTTCTACAGCAGACAGTTTAAATTCAAAGGCTGGCTACTTAACTACCTGAATATTGATATATTAACCTCTATTTGATTACCAAACTAGGGGATGAAGTTTTTTTTTGGTGTTGCTCCTAGTGGCTGCCACCAAATTGGGGATGCTGGAATAATAGCAATATCAAGAGGACGCCCTGAACTAAGTTACTTGGAACCCTATCGAACTATAAAGAAGCAATTTGAGTGATGATCAAGGTCTTTTTGCTGCTGAAGTTCCATCTTCACCTCACCTCGACAAACGATGATCACAATATGGGGCCAAATCTTGTGTTGTGTTAAAGCCAAGGACGAGCGTTGGAACAAGAAAATGAACAACTTGATAAGTATGGTTTTCTGGAATAAAATTCCTTTTTTTATATATAATAATAATAATTTGTCTAAGGATTTTGCATCATGTATTTGCCAGCATAAAGAATTTTTACGCTAACAATTTGTGCCATACGTTTGTTTCCCTCTTTCTTGGTAAAAAAAAAAAAAAGACTTATCTGGTATATATTTGACGTTGAAGTGATTGAATAATGTATAAAGTATTTTGAAGTCAACAATACATAAATTCAATAATTGGGAATTTACATAAAACTTTATCTCGTTTTCACTTGCACACTTAAACAAAGACCATAGTTAATCACATTCACATAGCATATGAAAATCACCAAAGAGTCGTGCAGTAATTTCTAAGAGAAATGAAGAACTTCCAAACTGAGTAGAGTCCATTGAAATGGCGTAAAGAACCAGAATTTTGTCTCGACAAAGCTTGACGTACTGCACGAATAAATTTTGTGGACATGCCAAGTTTCTTGGCTAGAAGTAAGCAAACACAAACTATAACGTTTTCTCTATAACATTTTCTTATTTTTGCTATTGATCTTTGTAGAATACAAACTTAAACAAGAGGCCGACTTGAACCAATTCATTAAACGATATCACTTGTGCAACAAGTCGAATATAATAGCATTATTAAGATTTATTATATTGTATGTACTGGTTTAATAAATCATGGGGTTTCAATTAATTTTAAATTATCAACATAACTGGCTATTTTCTGGGAATTGGGCCCCGGCACAACTCGGGCTACTCCAACTAGTGAAGTAAGAAAAGAGGCAGTTCAACATAACACAAAGCAACTGAATTCTTATCAATAAACCTCAGGAGTAACTCTCTAAACTTGAATTGGGGCATCAGCATACAAGGACAAGAAGGGCAAAACTGCAAGGTAAAATTTGTTTTCTACTAAGTTTTAAATGCCTTTCTAGCAAGATAACCACGTCAGGAGGCTTTGCCAATTGCCATCGATCACGGATAAATATAGCTTGCTCCTCGCTTCTTGGTCTTCCATAGCTGGTATATAATTTACTTTAGCATATGCTAACCAATCGGCAAAAGGATGAAAGAAGGTTTAAATCACCTTAGATTTTCGGCCAGTGCTTTAGCACATCAATTACTTAATCCCCCGGTCTTGATATGTTGGCCAACGTTCAAATTCAATGAACAGGACATCTTTTCAAGTCTGAGTTCCCGGGTAGAAGTAGTCTACATTATTTTCCTTGACCCTAAAGTGAAAATTGCGAACCTTAGAATTTGAGCTTCCCAAGTCACAAGCACTTCCCTTATTTAAAAGGGTCAGCTGAACGGAAAAAAGACAAAAAGAGCAAAAAATGAATTAACAATGGACTCAGTAATGGAGACAACGTAAGTTACACAAAATTAGGAATTCAAATATCAAGTGCATGCTTATTCCATGATCTAAATGTTTTTAAGTGATCTCGGTTAATGCAAGTAATCATAAAAATAATAATGCTCTTCAACAAAACGCCACCACACATACTGCAGCAATTCTAGGTAAAACAGAGAAGGTTCTTACAATTTCCAGATTTCCTTTTAGCTGTTCAAAGGTTGAAGTTCGTAAACTGATCATTAGGACCATACAACTGACCGACCAGGTTATTTTGTAAGGATTGTCAATTTTCAGAACACAAACAAATGTCATCTCGTCTTTTTAAGAGCACTGGATAATCTTTTCTTTCCTTTTTTGTGTGTGTGTGTGGGG